GCTGTGCGAGCTGGGTGGAGGGGTGCAGGGTGCACCCTTGGGCTGCAGCAACCCCCAAAAAAGCAGGTTGGGGGGCTGGATTCTGCACACGGGTCCTTGCCTCCCCCTATGCCCCCACTTCTCTGCCTGCAGCCCTGTAGATTGGGGTTTTTTGGGGGGATGTCCCGACCCTGCCAAAGCCCAGCAGAGGTCTCAGCTCCCACCCCCAGGGGGACAACTGGGCACACATGGTGAGCTGGAGCCAGGGCGTGTGGCTCCTTCTGCCATCGTCACCTCTGCCAGGACCCCCGGCCTCTTCAGGCATCACCACCTGGCAGGCACCGAACTGGGGGGTGGGAGGAGGGAAGGCCACGTTCCTGGGTGAGAAAAGGGAAAAGGAGAAGGTCATTCCTTCTGCATGGCACTGCCCTCAGGATGGGGCTCAGCAGCTGGGCAAAGCATCCGCGTGGTTACACACAAACACACGCCCCGACACCTCTTGGTTGATATGGAAACGACTCAAATTATTTAAAGGAGAGGGGAAAGGAAAAAAAACAACAACAACCCTGGTGTTAAGGCACGTCGTTATGGTAACACAAATTATAAAAGTAACTAGGCTAGGGATGTGGCACCTTGCTTTCGGGTGCTGGGCGTTGTGAGGGCTCTGCCACTGCATCAGCTGGAGCAGGGGCAGGGGGGCAGGAGGGGACCCTTGGACAGCAGGGCTGGTGCTGGATGCAGTGCTGGGGGAGCTGGAGGTGCCAGGGCTGCAGGGGCTCCCGCAGCAAAGCCTCTTTGCGAGAGCACAGCTCAGCTCCCGGCACAACCAGCTCCCTGGCGAGCCCAAATCCTTCTCCAGGCACTTTTCCACCTGAATGGGTGTTTGAGAGCGTCTGGGCAAGTGCCCGGCTCATCCCTGTGGAGGTTTTGTCCCATTGCCAGAGTAGGGTGTGACCCTCACTGAGCAGGACAAAACCCATGTGATGGAAGGCTCCGTGTCCCCTTCGCTCCCTCCTTTTTGGTTGCAGCTTCTGCTCCTCTGCAGCCAGGAGGTTGCTTCACTGGACTGTGCAGCGTTTCCTGCGCCCAGGAGCAGCCGGGCAGTCACCCGGGGCAACAGGGCTTCCTTCCTTCCTTCCCTCTCCAATTTCACCCTGTTCCCCCCTGGCTGGTTCCTGCAGGCCATGGGACAGCAATGACAGTGATGGGGTCTGATCCCACCCAACTGCAGCCTGCCCAGGTGGCTTTGCTGGGATAGGACACAACCACATCTCAGTCCCAGTGTTTCTGGAGAGGCCAAGGACAGGATGAGCATGCTGTGCCAGCATGGTGCTGGCTGGCAGCCCACCTGCCTGCCTCTCACTGCACTCCTTTCTGCTCACAGCCACCTCTAACCTGGACCTTGAGAGCAAGAAAGCATCCCATGCCAAGCTGTCATGGCAGCAACCCGTGAACGTGTTCCTGGCGGCCGGGCGCCCGCCGGGCATGGAGGAGCTGCACCAGGAGGCCCAGCTCAACCTCCAGAGCTTGCTGCAAGGTAAGGGGGCCGGGGGCGGGCTGGGTGAGGGTGGCAGGGATGGGTGCTGCCCTGGGTACATGACTGCCGTGCAGGCAGCCAGGTTATCTCCTACATGCATGTGTCCAAGCTGGTTCTTGGACCTCACCAAGCTGGAGAAGTCAGGTCCCAGGGGAGTTCCAGGCTCCCTCAGCCCCTCTCTGACCTCTGCTCTCAGCTCCCTGCTGCAAGCAGCAAAGCAGCTGTGGCCAAGACCAGCACCCAGGGCCACCGGGGTGCCCACCAGCCCCACTGCAGAATGGTTCTGCCCTCGAGGGCCTGAGAGCTGACCCATCAGCGTGGCTGTATTTTTGTTTCCATCCAGTTTCTTAGCAAGCCCTCAGGCAGCCCAGACTGGGACGCTCTGCAGGCGTTGATGAGATCAGCAGCCCGGCCCTCCCCCGGCGTGTAATCTCATTAAGGCATCCTGAGCAGCCCTGGTTTCCGCCAGGCCATAACGACCAGCATTAGTTATCTCAACAATTACAGGATGGGGAGACACTGAGCTCCCTCCTGGCTGCCCCTGGTGGGCTCTGCCCCCCCGTGGGACCCACTGTGTCCCCAGACAGTCCCCTAGGAGAAGCTGGGAAGGGAAACCGACCCAGGCCAGCCACACATCCCCTCGTGTTCCCCCTGCCCCAGGGGCAAAGCTTTGACCCCTCCCAGCCTGGAGCAGGGTCCCAGGTGTCATTTCTCTTGCAGAGGAGTATGAGGAGCAGTACGCTGAGAGCAGGGTCACTGGGCAGACCTTCCGAGCTGCTGGTCACCTGTCCCCCAGCACCCCCCCCGAGCCATCGCCCCGACCCCCACCTGCCAAGCGCCTCGAGTTTGTGCCTATGGTGAGTGCTGGGGCAGTGGGGCAGGGCTGCACAGCCCAGATTGCCTGGGGGAGAGGGGCTGGCACAGCTGGGCAAGCAGCAGGACTGGGAGTGACCCTTTGGTGAGTCACCTGCCTTTCCCCCTGCAGCCCCCGAGCCAGCAAACAACTGAAGGGGAGACCACCAGCACGACCTCGCTCAGCGCTCGGCCGCCTGACACCTCCCTGAGCCTCCCCACCAGCCCGGACAAGCAGCCAGCCTGGCCCAGGGCCTTCCCCCTGCCCACCATGGAGGAGAAGCAGTGGCACCAGTCCTGCTCCATCCAGACCAACATCGTTCCTATCAACGTCTCAGGCAGGGCAGCACCCCCAGGGGAGGTGCAAGTGGCAGCCCCGGCACTGGGGGGAGGATGTGGGGTGTGGGCAAGGATGTGGGGGGCTGTGGTTGTGAGCCTGTGCCCTCACAGGCCAGGTGGGCACTGGTGACAGAGCAAGGGACAGCAAGGCCATCCTGGTGTCTGTCATTCCCAGCCATCTCTCCTGCCATCTGCAACTCCGTGCATTGGATCCATGGCCACGTCACCATCTGGTCTCTTGTTTCTTGTGCTGTCCACCCAGCCGGTTCTGTTGTCACCTTGGTTCTCATTACCTTCCATGCAGCCATCCTGCCTCACCTGTCCATCTGTCTGTCCGTTCATCCATCTTCATGGGGCTGCAGCTCCTAGCACAATGATCCTACCTGGTCCTTGCAGGCCCAAGTGCCACCCTCTGCCCCCAGAAGATGTCTTTGCATCCTTCCCTCCATGGTGGAGGGATGTGCCAGGACCACTCTGGTCCCTCTCCCTGCCCCACTGTTCCTCATGTCCCTGTCCCCAGTGTGGCTCAGCACTGCTGGCCCCATTAGCACCAAAGCCCAGCAGTGCAGCTCCAGCCTCACCAGCACAGACCAGAGCTGGTCTCCACAGCTCTCTGTGCATCCCCTCTCCACTTGCAGGATCCCACTGTGCCCCCCTCCCACCCAGCTCACCCTGCATGGCTCATCCCCTCCTGCCATCCCACGCTCCTGCCTGCAGGTGCCATCTCATGCCAGGGGACACCCAGCGATGGAGGGGGCCGATCCCCTGCCCCGGCAGCCCCCCAGCACCCCCATGTACAGCGTGTTTGTTTTGGCTACAGGGCAGCACTTGGCTAGGCACGCGAGTGCTCGTCACTCCCTCTTTAACACAGAGACCGCCATGAATCCCAAGTCCACCCTGCGGCGCAGACGGACCGTTATTGGATTCCCTAACCTGTCCCTGCGAGACCAAGGTGACAGCAAAACCGCGCAGCCTCCCGTGCCCTGGCAGGGCTGGCACCTGCCAGAGCTGCCCTGAAGGTGGGCAGAGCCACCCCGGGCACAGACAGGCTCCCCTAGGATGCCTCAGCCTGGGGGACATAAAGGCCACCACACTGGATCTGCTCACTCTTAGGGCATCCCAATGCTGGGCAGGCTGGTGACACTGGGCATGGCATCTGGGACAGCCCCTTCACCCCACAGTGGGGTCCTGCACATTTATGGAGCAGGAAAGACACCAGAATTCCTCCTAGTCACCCAGCCTCGGCTCCAGCATCTCCTGCCTGTGCCCACCCTCCCTGGCTGCGGGCAGAGCTCAGTGCCAAGGAGGTGCCAAGGTGCAGGGTGCTGGGGCTGCGGGACACACACCCCACTGAGGTGGCCAGGGACTGTCCCCAGTTGAGTTATGGCCACACCAAGACAGGGTGGGAGAGCATCTGGTCACAGGGTGTGAACCTGTCCCTTCCTGCCTGCCTGGGCACATTTCATGCCTGGGCAGAGATGCAGCCCCAGAAATCGGCCATGGGGTGGGACTGGTCCTGGCCCCACAGCACATGGGGCCCGATCCCCTGTCCCCCAACAGGAGGATGCTCACCTGGACTGTCTCTCTCTCCTTGCAGGCAGTGCCAACGGCCCCAAACTCAACACACACGCTCCCATCGCCGAGTCCCTCTCCTGCAGCTTTGTCCCCGAGACCACCAGCGGGGGGAAGGGGCCCCAGGAGACGAGCCCCCCCCAGCCCCTCTCTGCCCCGCTGAGGAAGACCTTCAGCGAACTCGGGGCCTGCCGCTGCCA